GGTTCAACATAAGAAAAACAATCAATATAATTCATCACATAAAAAAATCAAAGAACAAGAACCACATGATTCTATCAATTGATGAAGAAAAGGCCTTTGACAAAATCCAACACCCTTTCCTGATTAAAACACTCAACAAAATAGGATTAGAGGGGAATTTCTTTAACACAGTAAAAAGTATATATGAAAACCTGAAAGCCAACATTGTTCTCAATGGAGAGAGATTAAAAGCATTCCCTGTGAGAACAGGAAATAGGCAAGGAGGCCCATGATCAACTCTCCTATTCAATATTGTACTGGAAGTCTTAGCAATAGCAATAAGACAAGAGAAGGAAATAAAAGGTATACAAATTGGAAAAGAAGAGGTAAAATTATCTCTCTATGCAGATGATATGATAGTATACTTAGAAAACCCAAAGACTCAGCAAGAAAATTACTGGACATAGTTGATCAATTCAGCAAAGCAGCAGGATACAAAAATCAGTTGGATTTCTCTACAGTGAGAAAGAGAATACAGAGCTGGAGTTAAGAAAAACAATACCCTTCACAATAGCTAATCACAAGACTAAATACTTGGGAGTAAATCTAACCAGAAACACAAAGGATCTATTCAGAGAAAATTACAAAACATTACAACAAGAAACAAAGAGAGACCTGGAGAAATGGAAGAATATCCCTTGCTCATGAATAGGAAGACTGAATATTGTGAAAATGACAATACTACCAAAGGCAATTTACAAGTTCAATGCAATCCCAATACAAATACCAATTCCTTTCTTCAACGAGATGGAAAACGCAATCTCCAATTTCATTTGGAATGGAAAGAGGCCTCGAATAAGCAAAGTACTCCTGAAAAAGTGAAACAAGGTAGAAGGGATCTCACTCCCTGATTTCAAATCCTATTACATTGCTATGGTGGTCAAGACAGAGTGGTACTGGTACAATGACAGAAACATAGATCAATGGAATAGAACTGAGAACCTGGAAATCAGCACATCTACCTATGGTCAACTGATTTTTTACAAAGAGATGAAATCAGTTAAGCGGGGAAACAAAAGCCTTTTAAACAAATGGTGTTGGCAAAATTGGAAAACTGTCTGTAGAAAACTCAAGCAAGATCCACACCTCACTCTATACACAAAAAGCAACTCAAAGTGGATCAAGGAACTAGGACTAAAACCATGGACTATAAACTTCATTAGAGAAAAGCTTGGAAGAACTCTAGAACCCCTAATCCACAACATAAACAGTCTTCCAAGCATCCTGAAAAAACCTACAACCAGGAGAGGATAAAACAGATGACTTTCTAAGAATCAAATCCCTATGCACATCCAAAAATTTCTCCAACAGGGTAAAAAGGGAAGCCACAGATTGGGGGAAAAATACTTGGTAATGACATGTCCGATAAGGGACTTATATCTAGAATTTATAAAATACTCAAACACCACAACAAGATAAAGGTAAACAACCCAGTTGAAAAATGGGCACAGGATATGAACAGATACTTCATAAAAAAAGACATTCAGATGGCCAACAAACACATGCAGAAATGTTCAAAATCCCTAGCTCTAAGAGAGGTGCAAATCAAAACAATTATGAAATATCACCTCACCCTAGTAAGAATAGCAAAATTTAACAAACTAAAAAACAACAAAAGCTGGTGAGGTTGTGGAGAAACTGGAACCCTTATTCCCTGTTGGTGCGAGTGTAAAATGGTGCAACCACTTTAGAAGACTGGTTGAGAGGGCTGTATGGCACTTTCTCAAAAAGTAAGATCATTTGGCCCAGCAATTCCACTACTTGGAACATACCTTAAAGAAACCAGAACTCCCACCCAAGCAGATCTATGTTCTCCCATGTTTACTGTGGCTTTGTTCACAATAGAAAAGGGCTGGAAACAACCCAAGTGCCCGTTAACAAATGAATGGATAAAATTATCTCTCTGTGTAGATGATATGATAGTATACTTAGAAAACCCTAAAGACACAGTAAGAAAACTATTGGACACAGTGGACCAATTCAGCAAAGTAGCAGGATACAAGATCAACATACAAAATCAGTTGGATTTCTCTACAGTGACAAAGAGAATACAGGGCCGGAACTAAGAAAAACAATACCATTCACAATAGCTAATCACAAGATTAAATACTTGGGAGTAAATTTAACCAAAGCACAAAGGATCTATTCAAAGAAAATTACAAAACATTACTACAAGAAACAAAAAGAGACCTTGAGAAGTGGAAGAATATCCCTTGCTCATGGATAGGGAGACTCAGTATTGTGAAAATGGCAATATTACCAAAGGCAATTTACATGTTTAATGCAATCCCAATACAAATACCAATCCCATTCTTCAAGGAGATGGAAAAGGCAATTTCCAGTTTCATTTGGGATGGAAAGAAGCCCTGAATAAGCAAAGTACTCCTTAAAAATAGAAGAAAGGTAGGAGGTCTCTCATTCCCTGATTTCAAATCCCACTACACTGCTGTGGTGGATAAAACAGCTTGGTACTGGTACAATGACAGACACATAGATCAATGGAATAGAATTGAGAACCCGGAGATCAGTCCATCTATCTGTGGTCAACTGATTTTTGACAAGGAGATGAAATCAGTTAAGTGGGGAAATGACAGCCTTTTTAACAAGTGGTGCTGGCAAAATTGGAAAAGTATCTGCAAAAGACTCAAGCAAGATCCACACCTCACTCCATATACAAAAACCAACTCAAGATGGATCATGGACCTAGGACTAAAACCAAGGACTATAATCTTCATTAAAGAAACGCTTGGAAGAACGCTAGAAGTCCTAATCCACAACATAAACAGTCTTCCAAGTATCCTGAAAAACCTACAAACAGGAGAAGATAAAATAGATGAATGGGACCTT